TTTTTTCATGAGTCTTGTCACTAATTTTTTTTACAAGTTTTCAAAGTGGATAACATAATCATTTGTATAGATAAGAAAGTTGAAACTCAGAAAATCAAAGAAATTTGCTAAGTCATTCAGTAGTGGATCCAGGATTGATCTAGGTTCTAATAAAAACGCTACTAGCCATTACTTACGAAGTAGTTACCTTGTGTGAACCCCTGAGGTAGGTGGTCATAGCCTGGTCATTTTACAGGGGAAAGTCAGTCACAGAAAATTGCCTGAGGTTATCCAGTTAGCAAATGGAGGAGAATTTAACTTCAAAGTTTTTCTAGAAACAATTCCCCTGGAGAGAATAAAAGCAGTGAAAATAGTTATTATCTAAGGTAGAAACAAATTTAGCCATGAAATAAGGATTGGGAGGAAGGGACAGATTTAAGAAGCATTTTTTAATATCTCTGGATTCTCTAACTGAATGGGAGGCGAGAAAAGGAGCAGAAGAAGGAGGAGTTCAAGATAATTGCATTTTCTTGCTTGCTTGGGGAACTAAGTAGACGGTACACCATTAACATAGATCTAGAATGAAAATAATCTGCCATTGCATTTATGTTCTGTGGTCATAGCTGGCGTTTAACTGTTGTTTCTCCGGCTTGTCTGTGAAATGTGAGAGGAAGAATTGTGTGTCATCATCATCTATGTAAAAATGGATTGATGGATATATAAGATTTTCTTTTTTTTTTTTTTAAAGATTTATTTATTTATTTATACAAGCACTGGGTACAGTCAGAAGCGTGGGAGGGTGAGAAAATTCACCAGAGCCAGAGCGGGGAGCAGAGCAGGCAGAAGGACCGAAGTACACTGCTGAGGGGAGCAGCGGGCAGCAAGAGAGGTCTGCGTGCCATGTGGGACCCTCCTCTGGTGGCCGGGGAGCAGCCGGGGATTGAACTGGCGCAGCAGGGGCTTCGGGCAGCTTCGCAACCCAGCGCTCAACCGCTGCGCCACCGGGGAGGCCCTGGATATATAAGATTTTCAATGGAATTTGGAACATTGCCTGATTGTCTATCTGTAGGGTAGTATTATATATATGTACCTTCAGTATGGCAATAAATACTATTCTATACTTGATCAATTTTTTTATGTTGATGGATAATATTTTATTTTATTTTTTAATTAATTTTTTTACATCATTGTTCATTTTTAAACAATATTTGCTTCCCCCATCCCCTCAGGTGTAGTCCCCATGGAGTTTCCTCCACCAATGCACCCGTGCACCCTCACCTCAGTCCATGTGCTCCTCCCTCCTTCCCGCTGATCTCTTGATCAATTTCTTATTTAGGAAATATTCTCAGTACACACATTGCTTGGCTGTTGAGGATACAAGGATGAAGACAGATCCAGTCTATGCCTTGAGGGAGCTTATATTCAGGTAAGAGATAGAGGCAGTAACTAAGGAATCAGAAATTAGACTGTGAAGTGTAGTGCAAAGATAAAAACAGAGTGCTATGGTAGAGCATGATGGCACAGGGTCCCAGTGACATAGGGATTTCAGAGATGTTTGATTTTTCTCCCAAGCATGATGGGAAAAAATCAATGCATTTTGAGCAAAGGAGTAACATGATCTGCTGTGCATTTTTGGTAGCTCTCTTTGAATGTCACTGAATTCAGACAAGCTTCTGATGACAGGCATGGAAACAGAGCAGGCATTGAGGAGGTTCAGAGGTAAAGTGATGGAGACTAAAATACAGGTCCCAAGGAGGCAAAAGGAAGTGGGTAGAAATTGTAATTTACTGGAGGTAGCTGGCAGATTTGCTGATGGAGAGGGATGGAAAAGAAAAAGAAGAAATCAAGGATGACCCCTAGGGTTTCCAGTTGAAACAACTGGGTGAATAGGGCTACTACTTACTGTCATGGCAATTGGGGAGGAATAAGTTTTGAAGAAAACATGATCAGATGCATGTATGTATACGCATGTGAAAGCCTGATACCAAAGTGTGGTGTGGCCTGGGAATTTGAAAGCTTGATTTGTGTTATACCATCACCACTAAGAGCAATAACTTCTCTACACTCATTTTTCCCCATCTGCAACATGGGGATGATTATATCTGTCTTTACTGCTTCAGAGGGATGTTGAGAACTTAAGTGAGAAAACACATATGAAGGTACTTTGAAGTCTTGGGAGGATGAAAACTGTCAAAATCTCAGCTGTCTTTGGACGTACAGGGTGTGTTTATTTATTTTTTTGTGTATCTACTCAAAGTCACAGGGGTCATAAGTATATCAAGCTCACATTCTTTCTTTCATGTTTCAGTTCCCAGAAATGGGAAGAGGAACATGCTTCTCTTTCCCCAACTGTCCCTTCCCCTATAATATTCTCTTGACAGGAGTTTGTAATTGCTAGTGTTGTCTCAGACTTTTTTAAGACCTTGGGAAGGAAGGATTTTGCCCGGAATAGCTCTGCTTGCTAATCTGTCCCACTGGCAGATGATATCTTACTTTAATAGAGATGTACAGATTACAGTGAAGCAGCATGTTATCTCATCAAATCCTTCCATCACACCCCAAGAAATGTATTATTTTTTAGCCATCTGACAGAAAGAAGATGGCTCAAGAGGTTTAAGTAATTTGGTTAAACCTTCATCTTATAACTAGAGTGATTAAGGCTAATAAGAGCTGTGTTCTACAAAACACTAGCCAACCAGGGACATTGAAAGAAGGGCAGCTGTGTCGCAGATAACGGTGTATGTACCGGCTTCTTTGCTCTGTGGCCTTGGATATATTGTCTTCATTCTTTCATAATGGATGTCACTACTACTCATTTTCATGTTTAGGGTTTCAAGAGTCATTCCACCCATGTGTCTTCTGCTTTCTAAAAAAAAAAAAAAAGCAAAACCCTCAAATAAGAACAAAACAAAACAAAGATCATCACTTGCTCTCCAGAGTAATTACATGATCAACAGTGTATTCCCCTTGGGAGGAGACAGTGCATTCAGGTTTAGCTCAGGTGACATGCAGGAAACCTTGGTATAGTGGGAGGAAAACTGGGCTTGGGATCTAGTTACCTGAGGTTGAGTCTTGGTTCAACATATTTTATTCTGTGTGGCTTGGGGAGGAAGTGAAGCTATCTGAGCTTCAGGTTTATAACTGTAAACAGCCCCTATCTGCTAACTGACAAATAATCTGCCAGTCAGCCTCACCTTCACCTGCACAGTTCCAGATATAGAAGTAGTGGGTTAAGTCGTTACTTGTGGAGTGTCTTATTTGTAACTTGTTGGATTAAAAACTCCTGATTCTGTTCATTTCTTTACTTGATTTCTCAGCTCAAAAGGATGTGTTTGGTACCTTCTAATGGGCAAATGGTGGTGACAGTATGACTGTCAGCATATTCATCTGTTTAGAGTAAAGCTAAGGAGGGATGACAATAGAGCTTTGGTTGCAATGGGGAGTGAATGAATACATGTTTAGCACAGTGACGGGCAAATAGTCAATGACTGGTAACGGTTGTTAAATTTTTTTCTTAGGTGATTCTCATTTATTTTGAATAGTTTAGCGGTAACCCTGGCTGGAGACTAGAGGCTGGTCTGAGTCCTCTTACAAATGTCAACCTGGTTGGTGGCCAGGCAGGGATTTCTTGCACAATTTCTGTAGCCCTTATTTTCACCTATTTTCGGCACACTTTTGAGGAAGAGTACCTGAGATAACTTTTTATAAGCTGATGGTACATGCAAATAAAATAATGACAACATTGAGATCAATGACAACATTTTAACTTGTTTCCCCTCTGAACTGAGTCTGAAAAACAAAGCTCAAAACCTGTGGAGGTGTTTTTCAACACGACGTTTTAGAGTTACAGGTGTGTGCCCGGGGCAACCCAAACAAAGATTACAGCGCTGTTTATGGCTGCCTCCCAGGCTCAGATAAAAGAGGCGCCTCTCAGCCAGCTTTATGGTGCCAGCCTTACCCGAGGTCAGACTTTGAATTCTCCCCATTTAGGGCTGGTCTAACAGGGCCTCCCAAGCTGGGTTTTAAGCCTCCCCTCCTGTTTTCCTAGCCCTGCTCCTTCCCCACTTAGGTTTCTAGGGCAACCACCCTCCCACAGGGTCGGGTTGGGGTCCTGGGGGAGGCCTGGGTGCTCCCAGGGGGCAGCAATGGGGGGCGATCCCAGCGGGGAGCAAAGCAGGGCAGCCCCAGGGGGGAGCAATGAGGGGCGTCGGCGGGGAGCAATGCGGGGCGTCCCCGGGGGGAGCAATGCGGGGCGCCCGGGGTTCCCTGGAAGGGGCGAGCGGACAGCTGCCCCTGGGACCGTCCACATCCCGAATCGCACCGCCCCTCCCGACCTCCGGGCACCGTACTCGGCTCTCCCGCCGCGGAGACTCGGCCTCGCCGGGACTGGGGAGCGCGGCCAAGGGGGAGCCGTCCCGCCCAGGCCGCGCCCGCGCTTTCCCGGACCAGCCCCTCCCGACGCCGGGCGGGGTCGGTCCAGGCCGGCGGGCCCCGGGGCGTCCTCAGCTCTCGGCCGCCGCTCCCCGGGCCCTCGCCCTCGCCCCCCGGGGCGCGTCTTCCGGCGAGCTCGCCCCGCGGGACGCGCCGGCCCCCCGCGCCTCTCCTCAGGCCCCCCGCGCCTCTCTCCTCAGGCCCCCGCGCCTCTCCTCAGGCCCCCCGCGCCTCTCCTCAGGCCCCGCGGACGCCGCTTCCGGGCCCCGGGCGTCCGCGCGCCCGCCCGGCCGCCGCCCCCTCGCGCCCCAGCCGGGCGCTGCTACCTGGGCGCGGGGCCGGGCGCGGCGGCCGGGCGGCTCCGGGGGGCGGCGCTGTGGTGCGGGCCGCCCCCTCGCGCCCGGGGCGCCGGCGGCGGCTCGGCCTCCGCCTCCTCCCGTCGCCGCGCTCCGCCTCCGCCCGCCTGGGCTGGGAAAGCGGGAGGCGGCGGCGGCCCGCGGGCGCGCGAGGGGGCGGCGGGGAGACTCCGGGTGTCGCCGCGCGTCACGGACCTGAAGCGGCGAGCGCGGCGGGCGCGCCGGGGCCGCCTCTGCCTCGGCCGCCGCCGCCGATGCGGGGCCGCGAACAAAGAGGAGGAGCCCAGGCGCGAGGTAGGGCGCGGGGCCCCGCGCGGTCGGGGCGCACCCCTCACCCCCGTTCCGCGCTGCGGCGTCTCCGGCTCCCCGCCCCGGGGGCCCCGGGGCCCCGCGCCGGACCTGCCTGAGCGCAGCCCGCGGCCTCGCTGCCGGCTCCGGCTCCGGGCTGGAAGGCGCCCGGGCTCGGGGGGCGCGGGCTCTGGGGGGCACCCTCCGCCCGGCGCGTGGGGATGCTTCCCGGGGGCACCTGGTGGTGCTGACTCCTCGCAACTTGCTGCTGCGGGGTGAGGGCTCGGGCGGCGCAAACTTCCCGCCGCCCGTCGTGCGGGGTGTGTGAGCCCGGCCTGACCCCGGGGTGGCGGGGCGAGGCGGGGCGAGGCGCCCCCGGGGCCCGCGCCCCCACCCCGCCTGCGCCCCGGCCCCGACCTCGGCCTCCGGGGCCGCGCTCCCTGGCTCCGGGGGGTGCCGGCGGCCGCCGCGCCTCCCTGCGGGGCCCCGGGCTCCGGGGCTTGGCAGCCGGGAAGAGGGGCGCAGTCTTGGGGCTCCCCGCCGCCCCGACTCTGTCAGGAACAGCTGTTGGTGCTTCCAGCCAACCTTTTTAACCCCCTTTCTCCTAGACATCCACGTTGACATCTGTGTTGGGGAGGGGGTGCCTCGGCTGGTCACTGGCTTAATTGCTTTTTCCCGAATGGCCCCATTTTCGTAGTAATGCTCACCGTTTTCAGTCCAGCATTCCCTTGTCAAATTCTTTCAGCGATAATTTTGCCAGATTTTCTGAATGGATTAGGACAGGCCTTTCAGAAATCCGTTTTGGAGTTTGCCAACCCCTGGCCAGAAGGGTGCTTTTCTATTTCCCCCCTGCTTTCATGCAAATCTGTAGTTCTGTCCTTTAGAATTGTCAATCTTCGGATCCTTTGGTTGGGCAAGATGAAACAGTTCTATTTTTAAGAGCAGCGAAGGAACATATGTATTTAATATTGGGATCATTTACCACAAGCGATCACATGAGGCTTGGGTTCTTAAAGTGGCTGCAAAATTGGCAACTTTGTTGGATTTAAAAGTAATTTCAGGTAGAGGAAACTTTCAATTGCTTCTGTTGAGCTTCTCAAATGAGTTGAGCACTTTATTAAGGCAGCTCATATCACTCTGAGAACTGAAGAAATTATGTTCTTTATGGCATTTCATAAATCCTGTTTACCCAGCAACTCTGTAGAATTTGGTTATTTCTGTACAGTGTACTCCTTAGATAGGTATGGGGATTAATTTTGAATCGTTAATAAGCCTATTTTAAAAAGATTTATGCATATAAGAACTGGGGTGTAGGCCAGCGGTGGGAGAGGGGTGAGAAGATTCTACAGAGACAGAGTGGGGAACAGAACACGTGAATCTACTGAAATACACTGCTGAGGGGAGCAGCAGGGGAGACAGGAGAGGTCTGCTGGGCCATGTGGGTTAGCTCCTTGGCCAGGGATTGAACTCATATTGCAGTGGCTGGCTATAGCTTGATAGCGCTGTGTCTTTAACCCCTGTGCCACCTCGGAGGCCCCTAAAAAGCTTTGTTTTGTTTTTAATTGTTGACTTGGAGTTCAGGAATCACATTCCAAAGCAAAGCTGCAGTATGCAGAGGAAGCACTTTTGTGTACTTTTTGGCTCTTGGCTCCTCTGTGAACCTTTTCCCCCAAAACAATACTAATTTTCAATCTTTTCTTTCTCTCCTCCCATGACTCCAGAGCAAGGTCTGCAATGGATGTTACATGAATCACTTTAAGGGATGCACACAGCTATGAACATTTCTGAAGCTTTTCCTCAGTAAACTAGATAAAGATGGATGAATCTGCCTTGTTGGATCTTCTGGAGTGTCCTGTGTGTCTAGAGCGGCTCGATGCTTCTGCAAAGGTCTTGCCTTGCCAGCATACATTTTGCAAACGATGTTTGCTGGGAATCGTAGGTTCCCGAAATGAACTCAGATGTCCCGAGTGCAGGACTCTCGTTGGCTCGGGCGTTGAGGAGCTTCCAAGTAACATCCTGCTGGTCAGACTTCTGGATGGCATCAAGCAGAGGCCTTGGAAACCTGGACCTGGTGGGGGCGGTGGCATGAACTGCACAAGTGCTTTAAGGTCTCAGAGCAGCGCTGTGGCTAATTGTAGCTCAAAAGATCTGCAGAGCTCACAGGGTGGACAGCAGCCACGGGTGCAAGCCTGGAGCCCCCCGGTGAGGGTGAGTAGCCTATGAAGCAGTTTGGGACATAAAGGTGTTGATGATCACATTTTTTCTTTATCCTTTGGTTTGATTTTTCTAAATCAGTTCATTGCTAAAGAAGCCACATTTATTGGAACAGATAGGAAATGATGCCGCAGAATGTTTTTTTTTTTTTTTTTTTTTTTTTTTTTGCTTTTGGAAGGAGATTGCATATAAAGAATTCATTTTCTGATTTTTAAAAGGGTCTCCAGATAGTCTTTATGATCTTTTAAGATATGTTTTAGGAAACAGCAATTACTCAGTGAAATCTAAAACAGCAGGTTTTTTTGTGTGTGTATGTCCACTGTAAGATGGAAATTTGGTAGGGTTTTACCTTTTGGATGGAGTTGGGAGAGCCATAATTGTGTGTGTGTGTGTACATATGTGTTGTAAATATGTATGTGGGTAAATCTTGAGTAGGAAATGAAACCTTAATTTTTATGTTGCTTAGAGCCATTCTATTGGTTTTATGAATGCACAGCACAGAATTTACTGGTTGGAGGAATTCTTAACAAATCATGGCCACAGGTAGCAGAGTTCTGTTGCTGTGGCAACAAAATGTCATTTAGGACTACACTAAGACAGTAGAGAATCCAGCTTTCATATTGGGTTTTACAGGGAGTTAGAGGTAATGTTTTCATAGATAATGGATTTATAGTAAGTAATTACTGAAGTAATTTTAAGTGAAGCTAAATATTTAAGTGAAACTAAATATTTGGGCAGTTAACCACAATTTAAATTTCTAGAAAGTCAAGTATTGTGAATAACTATAAATTATGTTATGGGTGATGGCACCCCAATAAGACATACTTTTCTTATTTTTGTAGTCAAAAGTAGTATGGACATCTAATTAAAACAATTCCATTTTTGTTGGAAGAAACAGTTTCGACAATTGGCCAAAATAATAAAATCTATTTTTAAAGAACTGTAAAGTTGGATGAGAATTTTTTTTCAAATATTTCTAGTAAACTCAAAACTGATGACTGACTTATTGGAGGACCTACCCACCAGCCATCCACAGGTGTGACGGACAGCTGTAACTCATTCCCTAACTTCCTTCTTAAGAGCATCTTTTTTTTTTTTTTTTTAAAGATTTATTTATTTATGCGTACAAGAGCTGGGGTATAGGCCTGTGGCGCAGGGTGGGGAGTCTTGGTGAAAGGATTCACCAGAGATAGAATGGGGGACAGAACAGGCAGATTGACCAACGTACACTGCTGAGGGGAGACAGGAGAGGTCTGCTGCGCCAAGTCGTTGCTCCCTGGCCAGCCAGGAATCTAACTCCATACTGCAGTGGCTGCCAGTGGCTGCGGATAGCTTCATAGGTTGCCTCTTAACCCTTGCCCCACCAGGGAGGCCCCTTAAGAGCATCTTTTAAAAATATTACTATGTATTAGATTGAAAATATGTCAAGCTTATCAAGTCCTAGAAAAATTTCATCCCTGAGCCCTCTGATTTTTGATTCAGATTTAATTTTTTCAGGATAGCAAAAATCTTGAGTTAGGAAGGATTTTCTGTATTTGAAGCCCATATGTTGTTTGAGATTGATCTGCTTATAGTGCTTTGCTTAGAATTCCTTTATTTTATGGAGTTTTACTGGTTGCTTGATTGGAATATATGGACTCATGAATATTTTAGCCTCAGAACCAGTGATAAAGTTGGTAATTTCTGAACACCTGACCCAGGTCTACTTAGTTTAATGAAGGAGTAGATGTGTTTTCTTTGGTGAGGTTTTCTTTCCTTGTTAATTAGCTAGAGAAGGCATAGCTTCTGGCTGTGAATAGAAGTAGCCAGGTTGTTGAGGCATTGCCTCACCTGTTGTGGGGAATGCACTGAATGTTTGATTACCGATAAGAAGGAATTGAAGAGGCCTCAAAAATTCAACTCACATCCTTTGAATTTTAACTTTTCCTTTGAATATGGAAATTGACTAGGTGATGCTGTAATGTTCATTTATTTGAAAGACTAAGCTCCCCAAATTGAGCTTCCTTTTTCTTAGGTAAGTTATTTTGAGATTGTGATCACGTTAATATTCTTTTCCTAGCTATATGATTTTCCTAATTAACCTCATGTTTCTTATTTAGCGTGACAAGAATTACTTGAACTTTTATAATTTGGATAAAATAGTTGCTGTCAAGAAAATTATGACTTTGGGGGGAAGGTACAGAGAGTGGAGGACAAACAACAAAATTATTCAGTGGGGGTTGGGGGGAAGAAAATATTGTTTAAAAAAATAAAAAAATAAAAAAAATTCAGTAGTCTGAGGTTGATGCAAATGCTGCAATACTTACAAAAAGAACAGTTTTTTTTTTTTTAAATCTAAATAATTTCTCAAGAGCAGTGCCTGGTTCCTTTAGGTTTTTATAGTTTACTTTAAAGAATTTAAAACAGCCAGTGCTACGCAAACATCCCATGCATTTGAAAGTTAAATGTATTGCAGAAAAGTACTGCTTTTAAAAGTCAGAAATTTGTAACAAACAGCCATGTGGAGGTTGTAACACGCTCCTCGGGACTCTTCTCTGAACTGAGTGACCGTAATAAATCCCAAACGTGCATCCTCTTCCCTTAGATGTTCTGACACCACCAAGTGGTGCTTGAGCCGGTTTCCACATGTTGCACGAAGCTGAAAGTGATAACATGTGGAATGTTGCTTCGGTTTATTAGTTATGTTCTATGTTCCATTAGATGCTGGCCATGTGGCTTCCTCATGCGTTTCGCCGAGGTAGATTGTTATCAGCACATACGAACATTTCCAATGTGGGACACACATCTTGTTCCCAGAATTTTTGTGTTTCCTGCCTGAAATGAAAAAGTGTTGGGTTAGAGTCACCATGGGAGTCTGTTAAGAATTCCCGTTGGTTTTAGGTCAAAGTTAAGCAGTGGAATGAGCCACAGGGAGAGCGCCACTGCAGAGACCCGTTTCAATGGACTAAAAAATGTACCTACAGAAGACAGAACATTTATATGTGTTAAATATACATATGCAAAACTAGATGAGGAAGGAATATTTAAATAATTCCTGTGGAATTATGACCTAATTTAATTAAGTATGTGGTTTCATTGCTTTAAGATCTAGTAGTATCTGTGCCTGTTTCTTTTTATATATTATTTCTCAATGATTTCACATTACCTCTACTTTTATTCAGCAAAAGTTGATCACATGACAACTTTTGCATGAATTTACAGTTTATTCTGTCCTTTGCCTAACATATATTTATTAAAAAGATTTGTTTATGCATAGAAGAACTGGGATGTAGGACAGAGGGGTGGGGTTGTGGAGGGGTTGAGAGGATTCACCAGAGACAAGAGTGGGGAGCAGAACAGGCAGATCTACTGAAATACACTGCTGAGGGGAGCAGCAGGAGAGACGGGGGAGGTCTGCTGTGCCATATGTGGGTTAGCTCCCTGGCTGGGGATTGAACTCTGGCCATAGTGGCAATAACACCATGGTGCTGACTTAACCCCTATGCCGCCAACAAGGCCCTGCCTAATATTTATTTAGCACTTACTAGGTGCCAGTCACTAGCTGCTAGGTAGATAATGATGGGTAAACTAGATACAGAACCTGCTTATAAATCCATGACTACATGATCAGTCTTGTGGGAGAGACACATGTTAATAACATGCTAACAATGCAGGTATGTCATTAAACGTGACAAATGTGACAGAGAGTGGCGGAGAGAAGCATCTGTGTTTCGTATGAGGGTGTCTGGATGTGTGGTGTGTACTTGTGTGCATGTAGTGTTCAAAAGCTTCCTTGAGGAAGGAGCATTTGAGCTGAGATCTTAAGGGTGAAATGATATTTGTTAGTTGAGATGGGCTGGGGCAGGGGCTGAGGAGAAAGGATTCCAAAGGCCCTGACCTAAGGTGGGATAGGCTATGGTTTCTGGGAAGAACTGGTGGCAGGGAGTGTGAACTAAACAATCGATGGCCTGAATGCCATTATGTGCAAGGCATCCAGAGCCACCCCAAGCCATGGGGTGGCTAAGGGGCAGGTGAGTGGTATAGCTGGCAAGAGCTCTGCATTTGAGGTCAGAAAATGGGAGTATAGCTTGGACTCTTGGATTGAGAGACAAGGAGGAAAGGTAAAAGTAGGGCATGCTGGGATGGGGAAATACAGCTGAATTTCCTTTCTGCAGATGCTGAGTATGCTTTCATTTCTCCATATTCACATGCACACCTCCCTTCTGTCTCTCTTATTGTGTTCCTCCAAATTCCTGTTTCCCTCCGATCTCTGCTGTCTCAGAATGTGACTATATTTGGGGGTAGTGTCTTTAGATAGTGATCAAGGTGAAAAGTCATTCGGGCAGGCCCTGCTCTACACAGTGACTGGAGTCCTGCTGAGAGACACAGAGGGAGGACCTGTGAAGATACCCAGGCAAATAGCCATCTGCAAACCAAGGAGAGAGGCCTCAGGAGAAATCAGCCTGCACTGAATCACAGAATTTTAGCCTCTGGAACTGAGGAAATGTCTTGTTAAAGCCAGCCAATCTGTGGCACTTGGTCCAGCAGCCCAGCGGACTAGTGCATGAACCCTACATGCACCTCTAGAGGTTGGCCCCTTGAGTGGCCTCTCTGTCCTCTGCCATCCTCAAGGCCTGGCTTGATTCTCTATAGCCTGCAGTGGTCCAGTCTTCTCTGTTCTTCACTGCGTAGATACAGCAACTGTCCCTGCCTTCTTCAGCTCCTTCCCAGCTCCTCAACTGGCTTGGCATAGTTTCAGAAATAGGAGGTTTATGTGACACTATTCCACATATGACAGAACATTGTGGAGTTGTGGAAACGAAGTACTGGGATGAGAGGACTACTACTATTTCCTTTCCTCTCGCAAGTTCTGTAGCTGGAGTCTGGTGAGCGTGCTTAGGGTGTCTGAGGTATTCCCTAAGGAAAGGCAGCAGAAAGACAATTGAAGGGAGTTTGTGGAACAAGGCCAGATCACAGGGTTGCTCCAGGTAGGGTGAGGGGAGCTAGTGCTAGCCGTGAGTTGCTCTAAGCACCATCTGTGATGTCTAGTCATGAGTAAGTACCTGTGGACAGCTGCTTTCTGAGCTGGAGGCTCAGTTTTGTGAGATGACCTGTACTAAAACAAAGGTGGCAAAATGCGTGCTTCTTTTGAAAAAGACTTTACACCTTGGGCAAGTAAAAACACAAACAGTAAATAAAACAGCATAGAGTGAAGCATCAAATGAGGGGAAAAGGTGGACGAAGACTCTGTCCACCTCCTCTGTCCACTACTTGTACAGTCACCCCTGAATTAAATGCCTGGCAGGAGGGTGGACCAAGGGGACTGGAGTGGACAGGACACAGCAGGACACATCCCTGGGGATTGAGGCTCAGAACAGGCGCTCACTGGCACGGGCGTCACTGACGCTGCAGTGCCGGGGCCAGGGGTCTTTATTAATTCATACTGGACCTAAGCAAGACTTTCCTGTGGTGGTTTGCATGGGGAAGACATTTTGATGTTTTTCAATGGCCGAGTTAAAATCGAAAAAAAGTGTTTGTTTCTGCCAGACATGCTGTAGACATCCTTGACCTGTTGTTCATCCTCGCCCCTTGCTTCAGTTCTCATGTCAGCCACGTCCTTTCTTTATTCCTAAGGTCAGTTTTGATGGTGAGGTGCAAGGCTGG